GCTGACAACACAGCAACCGATGCAAAGCCCCCCGGAGGCCGAACCGAATGATCGCAAGAGAGGCGGAAGGGCTGTCCCCGAAGGGACCAGGACAGCCGACAAAGCTACACCCGACCCGGCAGGTAGACCATCATGGCAAGCCCCCTGAACCCACAAAGGGGGCCCAAGAGGAAGAAACCTCTGGAACGAAACCAAAGAACCCAAAGGAACCCGGGGGAGCCCAAACCACCACATTTGTCAGCGGAAATACACCACAGAAAGGCAAAGCACAGCCACCAGACAAAACCCCCAGGAAAACGGCCAAAACAGACTGAAAACTGAGGGACAAGGTGTGAGAGCAAGCATAACAGACAGGGACAGTGAGCCCGAACCCTAGGGCCCAGACCCAAAACAGACAGAAAATGGAAAACCCTGTGTAAAAACCAACACTTAAACATTCCCAGAGGAACAGAAGACGGGCAGGAAACACCAGCAAGCAAAGAAACGACAACAGGAGAATAAAACCCCTGAAAGAGGTGAAAAAACTCACCCAAGAAGCTTGCTCGCATACCCAGGAGCATGTAAACAAACCGCCGCACCGCCCTGGTGGCCACGTCGGGAAACCGGCAGAAGAAAATGGCCACCAGAACAGGGGGGCCATGACCGAAAGAAGATAAAACATGCCAAAAGATACAAAAACATGCCAGCAAAAGTGGGAAGCAAGCAGACTGAATGGGCAAAATCTCTGCCCAGAAGCAAAAAACCCAGGCAGGGGCAAACAGCCCCAGAACTGCTAGCAGGCATCCCCCACAGCCCCGGGAACCCGCAACAGAGGCCCCGGGGCAGAGCTGTCCTCCAAGCCCTCCGCCCTTAAAGAAAAGGAAGAGTCCATGGGAAAGGCAGCAAGAAAGGGCCGCTGGTAAGACCCAGAAGCCTTGGCAGGAGGAACAGGCTCGAAAACCTCCGTCCCCAACCCGAACTGTGCAGCCTACGAAACCGCCCGAGTCTCGGCCCCCAACTAAACCCCGCCCGGACCCCGAAACGTGCAGACAGTCTGGAGCCGGGAACAGGGAGGGAAAGGGGAGAACAGCACCTAATCAAAACGGGGTGACCCCGGGGCATCCGAGTGGGGAACCAACCTAGCGCATTGCAGCAACCTAACCTAGCTTGCAACACGGATGCCACCTGTACTCTGAACAGTAATAACATCAGGAGAGTACTGGAGAACAGTGGCGAAGGTGGGACTGCAGCCGAAGCAGAGACTATGGAGGGAGAGACAAGGGAGAGTCCGAGAGTCCCACACAAGACCCAGCCAAGACCGAACTTGAGAGGGGAACCAGATGGGACTTCCTCCAGTTCACCAGGAACTTGAACCCGGCAAGCTGGGAAAGAACTAAATCCCTGGCGAGCAGACAAGTGGACTGGCTGGGAGCTCACACCAGCCAGTCATCAAGGTAGGCCAGAACCCAAACCCCTAATAGAAGCAGACGGACCACAACGACCTGGGTATGGCGTGTGAACACGTGAGGTGCCAGATTTAAGCCGAATGGAAGGCAAATGAAAGCGGAAAGCCTGAAGAGTCACAACAAAACCGAGCCAGTCCCTGAACCCTGGATGAATCAGGACAGTTTAACAGTGAGTGCAGACGATGCACTCACTGCCGAGACCAACGCACCAGACCCAGGACCGGCCCCGAGCACCTCCTCATCCTCCTCAAGCCAGTCTGAGGACAGCTCAAGAAGGGAAAAGAACTGCAGGACCAATGCCAACAGGCCACAGGCACACAAGTCCTCAACAATCAGGACAGCCTACGATCAGGACAGCCGAGAGGGTGGGAACCTGCACAATGCCAACATCCCGAGGAAGGACAGGAGCGAACAAGCATGCACTGAGGTGCTTAAACTCGCCCCCCCCCCCCCCAGGAAAACCTGGACTGTCGTATAAGCCTCGCGCCACTCAAGTGCATGGGACCAACAGAACATACGCCATGCCTGAGGCAGTCCAGAGGAGGCAGTCCGCCAGCCAGGACAACTCCAGAAATGTAAGGAAAAGTAAGGAGATGATCCAACATGAAGGAAAAAGGAGCCATTATGGAGGTGTAATACGGGTCGCGCAGGAGAAAAGCAGTAACTGCCTCCCGCACCATATGAGGCGGGAAGCAAGAAGCTGAAAACTACTGGAAAAACAGGACCTCAGAACCCAAGGGAGCATGGAACCAATTCCGGGAAGAGATTGACACCAAATCCAACTCATACGAGGAGGGAGGAAAAGAAACCCCCACCTTCGTAACAGCAAACCCCGCTCCGAGTGTTCATAAATTCAAGCGGGGTCCAATGGGGCCCAAGGCCCCCAAGTCAACCCCTCCACTGCCCCGGGAACTTCAACACGAAGACCCGGGGCCGAGCCATCCTCCAAATCCCAGACTTCAAAAGAAAGGGGAGGAGCAGCTGAAAAAGCAGGAACGAAGGGGGGGGACCTACTGGTCAGACCCAGAAGCTCCAGCTGGAGGAACATGCTCGAATGCCTCTGTTGCCACACTGGAAGGGGCATCCCCCCAAAACTGCCAGTCTCTCGACACCAGCTAAACCCTGCCCAAATCCTGAAACCTTTAGATGCTTCGGAGCCAGAAGCAGGGAAGGGGGGGGGGGGAGGACTAAGACGAACAACAGAGAGGGAAGGACAAGTGGGCGAGGACTGAACCAAAGTCAAAGCGACTAACACCCCCACGTTTGGGTCCTTATAACCAATCCAGGGTTTGGTTATAGTGTATTGGAGTACAAACAAGGAACAAAACTCACAGGACTCTGGGTCGAAGGTGTCACCAACCCAACAGGCAGCATGACGGAGGCACAACCGGTGAGTGTCACCCTGAGACAAAGGGACAGAGCAACCATCAAATTCACACGAAGCGAGATGAACCTCAGGGGTCGCATCCATCGGACCAAAGAGCCCCCATGGAGTTTCCCAGGGCCCTAAGTCACGAATCTTGCTAAGGGAAACCCAGGCAGGGTACTGCTAACCAGTGCCCAAAGTTACCAAACAAACTGCTAAAGCTGAACCCACAGGACATTACTCATGTGGGGGGTAATGGGGGGCCTAGTGGAGGACTACCAAGATATAAATGGGTGACCAAAACCAAGGGGCAGACCCCCACAGGCAGGAAAACAAAAACAGAAGAAAAACCCCACAAGAGGACAATGTACCCAGGCGAAACAGAGCTGACCACTATGACCAGTAGCTGCACAGTACCCTGCGCCCCAACCAGTGACAAAACTACCCCCTACCCAGAGGCAAACAGGAGTGAAGGAAACACCCCAGCTGACTCCAAGGGCAGTCAATTATCGAGCAGCAAAAGACCTTGCGAAAGTAGACCCCAAGGTGAGTAGTGGAAGGTGGGCCCAAGCCCCAGGGCAGTACTTGCAGGTAACCTAGAGAAGGGGACCCTAGGCGCATGCAGCCCGAGTACAGTACTTGTGAATTAACTTCTGGCTCGTGCACCACCAAGAAGACAGCACCACACCACAAGGCACAGAACTGGAAAGACAGGAGCCAAAAGCACACGACCTTGCTAATTCACATCAGTCACAGAAATGCAGAGTGGATAGCTGGCGCGAGGGTCTGGGACAACCCTTCCCCCTCCCGGGAAGGGGGGGTTGAGCAGACAGCGCCGTGGCGATTAGGTGACATCACGCTCGTTTTCATTTTCAAACTATTGGAGTTCTGTCCACTGGTTCGGCTTTCAGTAGCAATATTTTAACCAGAATAGGGATTTGTTTTGGGACACTTACCTTTCTGGGTGCTTGACCCAATCGATTGCAGACAGAGAATGCTTCCAACCACACGGGGGCTTCTATAGGCCATTGCGCCTCGTGCCTCTCTGAGAGGGGCCAGGTTCTGGCTCGTGGTCCCCGGTAGGCCTAGAACTTCATGTGCATTGACTGATGCCAGGGTCTAATACATACATACCAGCCCGGTTAGCTCTGGGGAGCCAGAGAGGCTTCCCCCAGAGATAGCTATATCTCACTCCCCCCATTGTTACAGATAAATAAGCACCGGTAGGTAAGCAATGCAGAGGGGCAGTAAAAAAAAATGCTCAGAATTGTACAGTATACATAATTATGCTATTAAGTTGTCTCACTTCAATTTTTCAATATTATTCAACCAAAAACTTTTTGTAATAAATTCTACATTTAAGTGTCTTAACTTTTAATTTGATTTCTCATTTTTTTACATGAGTAAATACCACCAGTAATTATCAAAAGAAAGCACTCAGGCATTTCAATACTTTACTACATTAAGATCCACTCATAAAATCCAGTGTTTTGACATAAAAGTATATCAAATGAAGGATAATCTCAATCAAATGAACATTCCTCTATTTTACCACTACCATATTATTTGCAACCCATCCTCCGAATTGACAGTACGATTTAATACTAAGTGTAATAAGTACACTTTCTTACTGTCATAAACAGTGCATAATTGCACTTAGGGGGCTGTTACATTTACTCAACTCCCTCCCCCGATTTAATTCTCCTCGTTTTCTGTTAAGCCACTCAGAATTTTAGGACGAAGGTTTCATCTTCAATTGGCTATACACAAGTTTTAAATATCAGGAATTTCTTTTTCAGGTTTATTAAACAACATAGATTTTATGCAAAATTTTAAAATATCCTGAGTTAATTTACAATTTATTGATATATTTTAGTTTTGTTTTATTAGTTTTATAAAACTGTAATATCAATATAGCTATAAGTTAAGTACTAATTGTAATTAGGAAGCAATAAAATTATTATCTTCAAAAACTAAGACGGTTAGGTGAGGTTGTGGTTTTCTATTCAGTTTTTCAGGTAAACTCAAATATTCACAATATATTTGACAGTACGATTTAATACTAAGTGAAAATAAGTACAATTCCTAACTGCTATGAATAGTACATAATTGCACTTATTTGTCTTCTTACATTTACCACCCCATTTTTGGAGGACGGGCTGTATTTAAGCATATTGCATTATTCTTACCAGAACTTCTTCCCTGAGTTGTCCCAGTGGGGTTTTAAGGGCTTCAATCAACCTATCTAGCCCTGTAAGGTTGGTAGAAAGGTTGACAAAGTCAGCATAGTCACGGTTGATGAGTTCAATCATTGCATTTCGAAGGATCTTAAGGTAAACTCCCAGATCGTCCCGTAAGCTCTCCAGGCCCCCGCTGCCGGCAGCCTGGTGAATGCGCACAAAATTGTCCACAGAGAAATCATCCTGAGAGTAAAAGAAACAAATGCTACTCTTTGACCAAACACAGCAATTTACAAGTACATAAGGACCTACATATAACTGTATTTAGGGCTGCTTGAACAGCGCACAACTGCTGAAAACAATGTAAACCAATAAATTATTAATAGACTTTATTGAAGATGACATTTTAGCATGCATGTTTGCTCTATAAAATCTAATAAAAATTTCACATGTGAAACCTAATGTTTCTCTACAAGTACTCAAGACTTCAGCATACAACTCATGAAATAGTGCTTAAACTTTACCCCTAGAATGCTACTCTTAAAAATGGATTAAAATTAATTAACGGTTTTCCATAGTCAGGGACAGGAAAAATGTTCAGCTTATCGATGTCTGCCTGGGTCAATTAATGACCTTCATCAGGATGCGACACACAACAGCTGGTCAATTAACTCCTAGGTACCTATTTACTACTAGGTGAACAGAGGCATTAGCTGCAATCCAATATTAATGACAATTTAACACTATCGCTCACCGGGCAGGCATGCGGTCAACTTAGGGGTCATGCACCCGACGTGCGGGCGAGTGTGCAGACAAGCGCGCAGTGACACCCAAATGTGTATACTCGTTTCAGCTTTCTCACCTTAATTCTCGTGCTACGTCGCTCGTTTTGGTATCATTGTGTTTGCAATTAAATTCCCTACAGGTGTGTAGAAATATAATGTTCAAAAGCTTGGCGTGACTCCCAACAACAAAGCCTAAAGTCTGCAAAAGTAACCCGTGAGCGCACAAAATCAGTAAAATGTGCATACTCGTTCCATTTTTCTCACCTTAATTCTCGTGCTACGTTGCTCGTTTTGGTATCATTGTGTTCGCAATTAAATTCCCTACAGATGTGTATGAATATAATGTATAAAAGTTTGGAGTGTCTCCCCGCAGAAAAGCCTACAGTTACCTGTGAACGAGCACCAATTTGTACACTGCAACCTAATGTGTATACTCATTCAGTTTGATAACATAAATTTTCGTGTTACGTCTTTCATTTTGGTATCAAATTGTTCGCAATAAAAAGGCGCGTATTTTAAAACTAGTCCCATAATAATAGAGCAATAACTGGAATTTTAACAAATAATTTAATTCTGGAAGCTCATCATCACAAAATTATTTATATCTTTCCAGTGTTCTGACATAAATTTTTGTGTTACATCTTTCATTTTGGTATCAAATTGTTCGCGACGTAAAGGCGAGCATTTTAAAACTAGTCCTAACATAACAGCACAATAAATAGAATTTTAACAAATATTTTAAAATTTTGACCAAAAATCTATTTATAATCATATAAGTGTTCGGACATCAAGTTTCATGTTACATCTTTCATTTTGGTATCAAATTGTGCGCATTCTAAAGGCGCTTATTTTGATACTATCCCGAGGTCGATTGGATAAAAAATGAATTTTATACAAATATTTTTTGTAGTGGACGCAAGTCCAGTCCAAAGTTAGGACTCGAGAGAAAAATAATGGACGAGAGTCCGGTCCAAAGTTACAGATAGTATTAATATATAGTAATTTTTATTAAGAGAAAAATTGATTAAAAATGTAATGAAATGCCTCTCTCTTGTGGGGTCCCTCAGTGACTCCCAAAGCTATTCATCTTGCAAGCTCCAAGCTTTGGTTATCACACCAGGCTTTAAGTTTCACAACTGCATACTACAAGTCAGTACCAGAATCTGGACCCCTGAATAGAGACAAGAGAAGTCTGGATGTATTAAACCACTACAATAATCCAAAAAGAGAAACTACCAGAAAGGCATGGTAAAGGAAAACAAGCCATGGACAACATTTGTTGTCCATGGCTTGTTTTGTGTTGCATGTTGCATGGCCAGCCGACACAAATACATATATCTTGTTAGCAACACTCCCTTGTCACCAGATGGCAATCAGACTCCTTGCCTAACCTCTGGTGGCAGTAGACATGTCATTGGGAGCTCCCGGTCTGCCGACCTGTGACTGTTTATGTTTGTGTGTGAGACCTTAGGGCAATGCCGGCTGGGGAAATGGCGGTGCTCTTGACACCCCCCCCCCCTCTGTGCAATAGAGGGAGACAATTCAACTGGAGTTCTCCAACCTGGCTTCTTACCTGACTGTGGAAGTGGCTGTTTTGGACTTATTGCGTGTTCCTGTGGCAGAGGTCTGTGAGGGTGCGGCTGATTGCTGGATGCTGGGCTGTGGTTAAGTTTGGCTCGGCGGCAGTGTACTGGGATGTTGTGGAGAAGTATGATGGGCGCTCCTTTCAGCTCCCTGATGGTGGTAGAGACGTGACAGTGTCTGATCGTTGTGGTGAGACTACCTACGTTGCGGTGCATGGGGCGCCTTTTGAGTTCCCCGACAATCTCCTACGTCTGCATTTTTCCAGGTTTGGGTGAGTGCTGAGTGTTTGTCGGAACATCATCTCTTCTGATAGATGGAAAGGTGTGCTAAGTGGCACCTGCACAGTGGCCATGTGCCTCACGACCCCTGTGCCGTCATCAGTTGTGCTGTTGGATTTTACTGTCCGTGTGTTCTACGTGGGCCAACCCCGGATTTGTTTCCGGTGCGATCTCTCAGGTCACCAGGCTACGGGTTGTGAAGAGTGCAGTGTTCACCCTATGAACCTTTTTCGGGAGGAGAATTTTCCCAGTTGGTGTCCCCAGACTCCTCTTTTTGTGTTGATGTGTGTGGTACTTCCCAGCTGTCTAGTGACCCGGCGCTAGGTTCTGTTGGCCACCTAGATGGAAGTGTGTCGAGGTCGTGGTTTGTGTGGCCCCACCCCTGCTGTCTGCCTCCCGGCCTCCGCCTGCCCCATCTTTGGTTGCGGAGTCTTCGGAGAGTATCATTGTGGATGTGCATGTGAAACGGTCACGTTTGTGGCGAGGCCGGGTTGGTGGCTGGTCCCCTGTTGTGGGAGTGGGGGCTGGTGCGAAGGCCTCGGTTCCTGCTTCTGTACTCACCTAGTTGTGTTTGCGGGGGTTGAGCTCTGGCTCTTTGGTCCCGCCTCTCAACCGTCAATCAACAGGTGTACAGATTCCTGAGACATGTGTCTGTGTCCTCGCCCACGTGTTCTGGTTCCCCGGCATGGGGGGTTGTGCTCCCTGATGTCGGCGTTGGTGTGGATCGTGACTTGGTTCTTGTCTTGCAGAAGGACGCTGCCCGCGTCAGCTCTATGCCCTTGTCCTCTGACCTGCAATCCGGTGTGCAATCAGCCCCTGTGCCTCCACCCCCTGTACAGCTGCCCGTATCTCCTGTGTGGCCAGCCCCTGTGCAGGCGCCCCCTGTGCTCGTCTTCTGTGCTTCCATCCTCCGTGTGCCAGCCGCCTGTGATGACGTATTCTGTGTTCCTGTCTTCTGTGAGGCAGCCCTCGGGTTTGCCGGAAGTTCCGGTTTTCATGCATCGATCCTGTTCCAAGAATGCTTGGGGTGCTTTCGCGAAGGAGTGGGCGCTCTGGGAGGCGTATATGAACAAGTAACCTCAGGGGTTGTTCCCTGACAAATATGAGGATTCATGGGCTCGTTGCCGGGTGTGGTGTTTGTTCTTCGTTTTTGGTAGACTTTTTGTATCTGTGTTTTTTGGTGTTTCAGTGCCTTTTTTTTTTATATGTGCCTTGTTGTGTCCCGTTTAGATTCCTCATTGCCCCTGTGTTTGTTTTGTGTTGCAATTTATGTATTCCTTGCTTTCGTTGTGTGTTTTGTTTGGCACGCCCGGTCTGAGTGTGGTGCGGTTTTGCTTTTATTCTGTACCATACGACGGAGCAGGCCGCCTGGTCGATGACCGGGCTGCGGGGACGCTAAGCATCATCTCAAGGTAAGGTACTGTATTTGTGGGTATTCCCATGGATTCTTTGTTCTGTATTGTTAGTTGTGTTTGTTGTGGTGCTTCGGTGCTTTTATGTTCTATTTATGTATAAGTTCGTTGTATCACAAAAAAAATGGCAATCATGGCCACCTGAGGGAATTGACCAGCCGACTCCTTCATTCACACACCTGGTTCTCCTGGTTATACACCCTTCTTTGGACTCAGTCCTTGGCTAAGTGTTGGCCTTTCTCAAGACTCTAGTCTAGCACAGGCCCTGTGCTTGTGTTTGTTCATTTTTCAAGTTTCACAGTTTCACAATACATGTTAGTGCATGTATTTTGGCTATCCTGTTGTGTATGTCCAAATTCTCATGTAGTTTTTTTTTTTTTTTTTTTTTTTTTTTTTTTTTTTTTTTTTTTGAGATATATACAAGAGTTGTTACATTCTTGTACAGCCACTAGTACGCGTAGCGTTTCGGGCAAGTCCTTAATCCTATGGTCCCTGGAATACGATCCCCTGCCGCGAAGAATCGTTTTTTCATCCAAGTACACATTTTACTGTTGCGTTAAACAGAGGCTACAGTTAAGGATTTGCGCCCAGTAAATCCTCCCCGGCCAGGATACGAACCCATGACATAGCGCTCGCGGAACGCCAGGCGAGTGTCTTACCACTACACCACGGAGACTGCTGAGTTCATTTAGTTAGAGTTCATTTAACCAGTTGCCACTGGTATTGTCCCTGTCTTCAGTTTGGATCATCTTCCTTGAGAAGGTAAGGAAGTCCTCCTTACCCTCCTGAGGTTTGCCTCCTCATAAGTAATCCCACCCCGGGTAATGCATGTGATTCGGCTCCTTTGCAAGGCCTGGATGGATGGATGGGCAGTAGTTATCTTGTTTTGAGGGATCTGTTTTGTGTAAGTGCTCCGCTTCTTGGCCCAGCCACAGTTTATACCTTCCCTTGTTGTGTTTTCCCAGGTTGAGGGGTTAGTGGGGGTTTGCCTGTCACGCCTTGGCATCTGGATTCCCTGCCGGCCTGCTCCAGGCTGGGAACTGGGAATTCCCTGCAAGTCTTCCTTAAGGAGACTTCGTGTGCTCCCCTTACCTGAGTCTGCAGCCACTTTGTTTCTATTACTTTCCTTTATGTTCATTTACCTTAGATATTTGGGCTTTGGTTACCAGCCTGTTTTCACCTCT